GGGGGCTGAGGGAAATTAAATGAATACAACGTGTTATGAAATATAGACAACAAAAGGATGTAAGCCTGTGCAAAATTATGAACAAGTGCTTACTTCTGAAGGGGTGAAAACCCGTAAACCCAACTCACTTAGTGAAGAAATTTCAATGTTCTCTTTTGGAACTAGTTTACGGGTCTATGATTTGAAGAAATTTACAACAAAATGAGGAATCATGAAAAATAAAAGGTAATGCCAGATGGTGAGTGGTGTAACATGTTAAAGACTGGAACTAAAGACAAGCAAAAGACTATATAGAAGAGCCTTACTTTGGATGTAGATAGTAGGGAGCTGAAGTTTTGTCTAGCATGTGCCCTTGTTGCAAGAGAGTGACTAAACCAGCATTTTTCAGTGCAACTATGCAGGGAAACACACGAGAGTAATTAGACTTGAAAGGTAACTATTTTAGTTATCTATTCATGCATTAGTATGGGCAAGTTTATAGTATACCAATGACAAGTGCTCTTCCTTGTTTAGATCCTATTTCAATCGGAGCTTTCCACGTCGATCTTTTTTTTATTAGGCCTTGCTTTTACTCCTATATTGGGAGTTACTCTACATATTGCTTGACGTGAAACCAATAGTGGATTTGTTTCTATCTTTTGTTGGATCTTTTTCCGAGCTCGATAGAGAATTTGATAAGCCAATTATTTTTTTCCTCCTTCACAATACCAGTAACATCTTATATTGTGGGAAGGAGGGAGTAATATTTTTTGTTTCATGCTTTACTTAGCTTGTGCATCCCTTATATTATATCATCATCATAACTCCGAAATTTTAAGATGTGCTGAAGAAAATACTCCCTCCATTTTTATATACAAGGCCACTATCAAAATTACAATTTGCACATATACAGGGCCACTAACACTAATCGATGCAATATTAATGGTGTTTGCCTCATAGTACTAGCAAAGGAGACATTAATTATCCCTTGCATGCATGCGGAAGTAGGAGCATTGGCTTGATGTGCATGAAAGAAAAAATACACATTAATTTACACGGCAAACAAGGAAACAAGCTGACTTGCAACATTGACTTAAAAGACATTAACTTTTGCCTTGATACCTGTAATATGAGTTTGTGGCCTTGTATATAAAAATGGAGGGAGTACTAATCTTATGTGTAAAATCATGCACTTCTAAATTTTGTTGCCTTTTTGGAATTGATTCCTTATTTTACATACCTTATATATGTTTCATAAAATTCAGAACATATCCATCGTCTCTCCCCATCTCCATCTTAGCCCATCACCCTTTCCTCCTTTTTATATCTTAAATGTGTTGAAATTATTTTTCACTTTAATTTGTGCGCTTTTGAATTTTATAACCTTTTCATATATAGTAGATTTGGTAATTCTTTTGGAGCATATTTTCTTTCATTAGTATTGCCAAATTATGGAAAACTTCTTAATTCCAAGACTTGTATCTTCTATACATTATAAACTTAATAATGCACTCTTCAATTTATATATATTTTAGTTAATTTGATATTTTTGAAATGTATGTAATTTTGTCATATTTTCTAAAAATCACTTCAAATCTTGAAATGACTCGGGCCTCGAGTCCAGCCAGTTCACCACCCATCTTTTCTCTCCATCCCCAACCAAAAGAGGCCTTAGCCCATCACCATTTCTTCTCATTTTGGTTTTTTTATTTTTTTCCCGGCATTTCCTCTAAAGCACGCTTAGATTTTTCCTCTTTCAGCCCATCTCACAACTGAAATTTACTAGGCCAAAAATTAACATCACTGGGTGGTTTTTAATTTAATCTGAACCGTTATAATTTTGTCCCATGGAAGTTGAATGGCTAGGAATATTATTTTTCCAATTAAAATGGAATTCTTAAATAATGGGATAGGCCAAAACAAATTCGAATGTGTTTTTTGTGTCGGCGCACTCGACCATTGAATCTCCACTGGACGGCAAAGAAACATATATTTTACACTAAAAAAGGCAAAAGACAGAAAGCAAATACTAACACAAATCGTAATGCAGATTGGATGGAACTCCATTGAGTGCGCAGAAGCAATATACTTTATTTAACATAGTACAATCCAAGCCGCGCATATACACGAGCATAGACTATCCCTATGAACGCACACACGCACACCCTACCTCTATGAGCACCTCCGAGAGACTGAACGGGCACTATCCCACTGAACGCGTATCACCGGACTTAAACTCCGGTGCGCAGGAGATACCACTGTCCTCCTAACCATCCAACCACCGGTTGGTTTTCGGAAACAATATACTTACATAATAACTTACTCATGGTTATGCATGCAAAAATAAAAAACTTACGCTTAGAAAAAAAAAAGAAACACTAGGGACAAATAGCTGCTTCACGCTTCCTCCTTGCGGTTGTTTTATGCCTCTGTTCAGCACAAGATGGAACGAAGTAGCTAAACTCGGTATAAGGTGGCAACCGTGATTTCCATTTCACTAAATCGAAGTCACCCTTGGGACGGATGGTAGGATCCACTATGAGGTCCGCCATCGTCACTTTAGGTAGTCTCCTCTGGGAAACCTCGGTTTCAGTTCGAGGACGAGTAAGCAACAATGGAGCAGCAGGAGATGGAAGAAAGCTTGTGATGTCTACCGGAGCGCGCCTTCTGATACGGAGCGACAGATGCTCGCCGAACATGGACAAGTTATTCTCGGTCACATTCTTGTACCTGTTGAAAATAGAAAGCCAGAACTGAAAGCTTACATCCTTCCTCAGCACACTGGCAAGTGAGTATGCTGCCACAAATGACCCTCCCAACATTGTCGCCAACTCTATTGCAATTGGTGTCAGATTCGGGTGGTCCTCTGGGTCTGCACTTCCAAATGCCAGTGTCTTGAAGAGGTAGATGTACTCCTCGGTTGGTAATCTAGTTAGGCGGATTGGCTTCACAGTACCATATTTCACTCAACTTTCCTTCCTGCTTACGATTATGACCTTGCTTTCTGTGTTTATGCATGCCACTGCATGGTGAATCTTCTTCCATTCCTCACAATCAACATCTGAAGCAAATATGACAACAATCAATGTCCTTCCTGCTGCAGACGCACACCTTCCATGGTCTTCTGCGCAGAACTTGTCTCCATTGAGGTGCAAAACCGAAGCGAAGCGACCGCGGACCCTCTTATCGTTGCATACATTTGCTACCAGAGTTTTCTTTCCGACTAGGTTGTCACC